AAAAAAAGCATTACTAATTTTTCGAGTGACAATGAAAAAATTAGTAATTTCGGTTCTTTTTTAAAGACTCGATTTGTTATTTATTGTACTTGTTTCTGGAACTCCATTGATTGAAATAAATGCAAGAAGAATGCTTTAGCGTTTATTCTTCTTCTGCTGGAAATTTTTTAGTTTTCACAAAACCGCCAGGAAAACAAATCCGGGCGATATCGGGCTAATGAGAAAAACTTTGGATATTAATTTTGTTATAATAATGGTTATCGATGTATTTAAAGTTCCTGTTATAACAATAACGATCGTTGTTAACACGGATAGTATCTGATTGGAGCTCCTCCTCCAAATTTGTGGTGTGCATCTGGAAGTACTTAGCACTCATATCAAGGGACCTACACATGACAGATGGCTTTTTATCAGAAAATAGAGGTACCCACGAAGATTTGTAAATGTCCTGTAGAAGGGCGGTCATTATTAGAAAACAACTTTTGAATAATACTTGGACAATAAGGCAAGTCGGAGTTCTGCTGAGTAATAGTACGCACGTCTAGCCACTCGCTTACGTTGACCGCCACTCAGAATGCTCGCGAAATAATTAACTTAAAAATTGTTAATTTCCTTCCAACGCATGTATGTACGAATGTCCTTTGGCAAATGCTTGGGTGGTCATAGCCCTGCTCTGAAAGCAATTTCGTATTCGCATTAATTTGTTATGTAAATATTTATTTTCGTTAAGAGTTTCCTTTTACCTCGATTCCTCACTTATCTTCATGTTCAACCCAAGTACTTTCAGTTTACACATGTACATGTGTATGTAAGTATCCCTGCAGGGAAACCGCGAACTAGTGAATCAAGGTTCTAGTTACGTACTAGATCTTTATCTTTATTTAGTAACTAGATTCCCGCCAGTTCAAAATCAGCGAAACGTGGTACTTAAAAAAATATATGATTTTACTTTTTTCATAAGAAGACTATACCTAAGGTGACGAATTTAGAACTGGATCGGAACTATCGAAAAAGGGATGCAGCGGGAGGGGGGCGGGGGGGAATTGACACTTCGAAGGACATCGCTAATGTAATTTGCCAGTTGTTAACAAGCAAAAGAGAATTAACGCTCACTAGTCATGATTATAAATTCTCCAGTACAGAGGCAGTTCGGCACTAGGGCGTTTCCCGACAGGGATATTATTGCAAATACAAACATACATATGTAAATTCATATAGTGGTATAGCGCTTTTTTCTCAGCCCACTCACGTGAAGATAGTCACATAAAATATGTTAAGGCTCTTGATATGTTTATGCTGTACCTACATTTGTACATACATATCTATATTTTTATGTATGTATATATAGGGTGGTCCATATAGCGATTTCTATTGAAAAATAAACAAGAAACCATTTTTTCGGTATATTTTTGGTTTATTCGCTATTTCCATAATTTATGGTTTTCTCAGCTGGCTTCTCAGTAGTGCATCCTTTTAAACCAGTTTTCGAAGTCTTTGGTGATGGTTTCTGGCTCTATCTCACGAATGGCTTGCTCGATATTCCCCTTAACAGCCTGAATCGTTAATGGATTGTTCGCGTAACAGCGGTCTTAGGGTAAGAACATAGTGGAGCAAAGCGTACATACACATTTGTAATTGAAGCTTTGCTCGATGCTAGCTCTTCGCTTTGCTTGCCCGCTCCACTATGTTTTGACCCTTACACGGCACCTCACAAAAAAGTATAACAGGGTCAAATCGCAGCTCGAGGTTGCCGATTGACATTGCCGAGACGGCTCATAACACGATAACCGAACTAGGCGCGCGGAAGATCGATTTTGGCACGGTGGCCATTCTGCGGAGACTAAAGATCGTCCAAGTCCATGTTTTCAATTTACCGTCACAAAAAATCGTGTATCCTACATACATAGCCCTGCAGCGCTCACCGTTGACCGAAATTGCGTTTCCAGCAGCTTTTCGACTATCACGTGCAGGTTTTTCGATTCCCAGGTGCGGTAGTTGCTTGTTAACTTAACCGGCGAGATAAAAATGCGCTTCGTCAGAAAATATGCTTTGGAATTAAGTTTGTATTATTTCCTAACAATGTTCAAGCGTTCAGTGATTCATTTCATTCCGAGAAGATATGATACTGACTTTCTGTCAAAATTTCAAGCGGTAATGAACTGTCACTGTCAAAATAATATACATATGAATAAAAAATAGCTCCTATATGAATCACCCTTTACATATATACATATGTATGTATATGTAAGCACCCGCTTACGATGTGTGGCAACAACTTGCAACATTGCCAGCAATTAACTGTGCAAATACGACAGCAATAAAAAAAGCAAAAACAACAACCAAGTACATATGTTGCAAGTAGAAAACTCGGCAGCCCACCAAGCGAACCGACCAGCCCAGCCGAAATGTATTTGCATGGCACTGCATTTCTCCTATTTTTAAATAATTTAAAAATTCGTCATCTCTTACAGCTGAGTAAGGTCACGTGCAGTGTACCTAGAAAATTTTGCTAAGTCACCGATTTAAAAAAAAATAAATGTGTATCATTGGGCACGTTCAGAAGGCGCAACACCTCAGTAACTGTTGCGTGTTAGATGATCGTAATATTTTTCTGATCATTTGAGACAGCATGTTGGTATGTACCTTTGAGAGTTGAATTTGTCAGCTATTGTATCAAGCCGTTCAGAAGACGCATAACGATCACTGATTTTTTTAGCAATGGTTGCACTCAACTGCTGCGCCTTCTGAACCTACCCATTGTAAAGTACTTACATGTACATACATATGTATGTAAGTAAATAAATATTTTCAAACGTTCCATGCTATTGGCAATTATATTTTAGTTTATGAAACATTTTTTAAAAATAAATTCAAAAATAAATGTTTTCACTTATATGACAAAAAATATAAGCCATTTAAAAAATGCTATGTGGAAATGAACTCAATGACACTTTTTTTAACGTAATGACTCGAATATTTTTTAATGCCCAACTTTGTCATTTGTCATGTTTACCATGCCTAGTGGAAATCCAGCATAACACTTTACCACTGATCCTACAAATAGGTGCAAATCATTTTAGCCAACCCAAAAAAATAAAAATCGATACTTTATTTTTGCATTTTTGGGCACGAATCGGGGACCAAATATCACTGTGCGACTTCTATTATAGTTTAATAGGAAAACATTTTTAAATTTTGTCAAACTCTAAGTGTCAATAATATGGACAAATATGAGATTTTTTCAAAATGTTTATATGCCCATATAAGACTTATAAGTATTTTACAATGATATGCTTTTTTCAACAATCCGTGACTTAGTGCAATTTCCGTGGAACACTTCACGTGGCCTTACGCAGCTGTCATCCTCAACCTCGGTGTAGTCGTGTTTATTGGTGTTGTTGCTGTTGCCCTTCTTTTCATTGCAAATTGGCATTTATTTATTTATTTTTAACTCTTTGCTTGGGCAACTGGCAAGTAAATTAAAATTAATGTCATTTTGTCATTTTCTTGTAATTATAATTGAAATTCAAATTACCGATGTTGTATAAAAGTGCACTTCGTTCGTATATGAGCATATATACCCACTAGGAAATGTCGTAGTCGACTACCAAATAGCTAACTCTTGACCCACTATTTACGGCTATCTGGTTTCAAAGCTTTACAATCGAAAAACTAGTTTAAAAAAATTTCATTATTTGTCATTGTATCTACTTATTGAAAGCGAAAACACGTTCGTTTGAATAAAATAAAACTTATTGTTCTTGACCGCAAGGCAGTTGATAACTCTGTTTGTTCTTAACAATCATATATTCCCACTATATTAGGCAATAGTTAATCGGCATAAACTATCGGCATTACCAAAAATATTATATACTCATGTATATCGGTATACTACAAGCCAATTTATAAATAATTCGTTTGTAGTAAGCTCCAACCAAACAGACTTTTTTCGCGACATCGCCAAGTAGCCGAAGTATAACTACCCCATTTGAAGATAGTGCATTTATAGTGTATATAATATGTAGTTATGTTCCCTGCAGTGTGCATTCATATGTGTAGCAGTGCCTCCTTTGCGCTCAATACACTTTACATAACATTACATACATACATTTGCACCCAGTGGCAAAATGTGCATGCATTACCTTTTTCTACTAAGAGGGAAGTTAAATCTCTTAAAAGTTTCGTATCATTTGA